ATGATAGACTGCTCAGTGTATGCATCGCCCAAGTTGAGGACACCGCACCTGTAGTATTTGGTACTATGGTCATTATCCACTCCCAGCGAGAAGAAAATGAGATACAAACTCGTGGTAACAGTTTTGCCACATATCATCGCGCCATTCTTCGATCGCCTGGCGTGCAAGCCGCGTGTATATTGGATCGCCGTAACAAGAACGGACCACTTGGTTCTGAAGGTAAGCTATCCAGATGTCGTAGAGGGGCACTGGAAAGAACAAAACACCTTTATTTATGTCAGTGCTCGCTGCATCGACCGCGGGTAAATGTTCAGCACGATCGAGTACCGTCACATCGGTGTAACCACGTTCTAGTAGGTGGTAAGCAGTAGACAAACCAAAAGCACCCGCGCCGACGATGACCACTGCGGGCTTCGGAGAGAAATTTGGGCTTGCCATCACGTAACCGTGGTGGGGCAACAACCTACTATTGACAAGTTCAACAACTAGAAAAGGCTAGGCTTCGCCGGCAACAACCTTGTTCCGCATCACTAGTTATTACAACAAAACTTTTGAGAGTGGCTAGCTAGAGTTAGGATCAAGAACAACTGCGCTAACGTGATGCAGCACATTCAGACGGTTCTGATAATCGTTGAACGGCTTCGATTCGAAAATAGTATTACCATTATACCATTAGTCGCGGAAGATATATGAGCTTATTTCTTTCCTTTGAAAGCCATATTTGATGAAGGCTCAGCATCAAGTTAAGTTTGCATCATTTCAGCGAACTGGAAGGCATGTGGTGGAAGGTGGGCGTAATACAATCCTCTCACGAAGAATAGCGTTGAAAATGGGACGCTTAGACCTTCTAATGACTGAATGGTGAAACGAAGCGTACCTCGATCACAGCACCACACAATCTGCTCTCATATTGAGCTGGCGGTATATATGGGTTTGTGATCAATCCCGTATGCTGGGAGAAGCGATCTACAACTGACCAATTCTAGATATCGAATTCTGAACCGAGGCTTGTAGCAGTCTCTAGTAGAGGATACAATCAGGGGCACGATAATAGCTGGGAGCAAATATAGTCTAGTTTACTGGATGATGCGGCATCATCTTCTATATCAGCGGTAAGTTGATCTTCTGTGCTTTCGGTTGGCTGAGACTAAGCTACCGAAGAAATTTTGAGTGCACTGAGACGTCAAGAGTGGTAAACGTAGCTTACAGAGAATAAACGGTGAACAAGTTGAATGTGATAATCCCTTCAGCCATATGAATGATGCTCGAGGATTTAGCGAGACCAAACATCAGAAGGCTTCGCAATCGCTACGAAGCCCAAGGGATTTCAAGCTATTTCTAATGTGATCATGATGAGCGTGCATCACTATCAAACATGATAGAGATTGCAGTCGGCATGAAGGTTATGGTAGCTTTGAACATCAAAACAGATCTGGCAGTCGCAACTAGGGCGAGAGGGAAATAAGTGGAGATTGTCTTGGACAAACGGGAGTCGATATGAAGGCTGTTGCAGAGTTGGAATACCCTCCGGCGTATGTGTCTTGATCAAATTGAACCGCGCGAAAGCCAAACGTTTAGAAAAATCTGAAATCGTACCACTTGTCCCAATACAACAGATGTTTTGTGTCATAACTGGCGGGCGTGAAGAAGCTGGCAGTAACACAAATGCATCTGCCATGAACACCGGTCCATGCGGTTACAGATTATCGATCACGGGGTCAAACAATCAGCAACACTATCATCAATATCGAAACACCACCCTGTGGAGAACATACGGTGTTCAGCGTGCATGTTGCGTTATCTTGAGGACGCGGAAGTTAAAGTCAGTACTGTAAGAACGCATATGCATGAAGTCGCACTTCTTGATTTGTAAATTAGTTTCCCGCGCAGAGCATTGGGATGGCGACGGCATAAAAGTTGTTTGAAATGTGCAATATGAAACTTTACATGCTATTTTGTAGACATGCACATATGTATTGCCGCACGTAGTAGTAGCGATGCGTCGCTCAGAGAGAAGGCTGGCATTGATTGATTACTTAATTTCTGGACCCTTTCGCACGATCGTATTGGTTGACTGACTGCTGGCCAATGATCGATAGCTCTATGCACTGATCTTCTTTGTTCAAGTCTGATCCATTGTGAATATCGACTCGGATTTTAAAATGATCCTGTCGCTAGTACACCGTTGCATCACCGCCAAAGATTGTTATTTGCGGCATGGGGCTACTCTCGAGGATACTAGGACCGTGACGTTCTTCAAAGACAAATATCCACATTCCAGACCTCAGTTGACGCGGACCAGCCAACCTCCCCATGGGTCTGCGACTATACTTTAGTTTGATTCAAAGGAGAATATCTTTGGCATTATGTTTGTGCTACTGGCGGTCGTGGTCTCTTGACGTTGACTTCACTACGGCGGGTGAAACTATGAAACGAGATGAATTGCTTCGAATGGACGGATATCAAGACAATCAGCACGCGTCGGATCTTGACCCATTGATATCCACGAAGGTTCTTCATGAAATGGGACTCCCTGGTTGCACAAGACCTCTCGTCGACAGTGAGACCGTACAAGCTCCCCGAGCCGCACAGACAGCCGTTGTCCAGACATCCAACTTTAAAATTGATGAATCGTGTTTGTCAATTGTATATGTATATCGAGGGTATGGCCAAGTATACCCACACGTTCAACGCCGTCTGTGACAATCCATTGTGACCAGAATTTTTGGTTCCTAACACCGGTTCCTCGCGCATGCTGGTATCGGATGTGCTTCTGGGGACGTCGATTCTCAAGGAAGGCCGATATAACAACGAATACAGTTGATGCGGGACACCCTGACACTGAGATATTGTCGATTCAGTCACGAACGTGACTACTATGACACCAGATGTCAGCACATGATGACTACAGTCAACGTCAGTAACAGTGAGCTCGATCATCATATGCATCATATACCATACTGGCGCCTCCGCACACTCTTGGCTTAGTCACCAGTGCCGTCGGTAACAATGATTATTTGTTACAAGCATCCTTCAAGATTGAACCCGCAGAGTCGTTTAACTCGTTCGGGAGAGGAAAGAAGGTCAAGAAGACACACTTTGAAGATTTGGTCATGCCAAGTAACCTCCTATAACCCCGAGACATGAGCCTCTTCATTCGAAGATAGGTATGAGTCACGAGAATGGAGTGCGCTAACGGAACTTCCATTGATGGAACCATCGATGTCAGGTCAAAAGACACGTCACTGTAGCGGTCCGATATAACGATGACACAGACCGCATCAATCAGAACAGAATGCAGAATGCGCTCACGTATATGGAGCAACAATAGCATGATCTACCACAAAACGGTTTCGGATGTCACGCAATGTGACACACCCAGAACGGAATGCAGAATGCACGTACGTATATGGAGCAACATAATCTATGATATGCAAAAGGTCGATGATAGTACGCGATGACTCACGCATATGGAGCAACGCCAAAGGGGGTCCAGCACGCATATACTCCGACTCATCGTGGGTTGGGCCTCAGGCTCGGTGATGCTATTCAATTGCATCTGTGAGAGTCCTCTCTGAGAAAATTGCCCATTTTGATGTCGAATAGTATCAAGTTTGAATTTCGAGCGAATCCCCATAAAGAATGGGTGACAGATGAGATCCGTCCGGTAGGTTAACTTTGTGGATCACCAGGTAGTATATGCCGTGGCCAGCATATTGCGGCGTCCCACCGGGGGAATAACTTTCTGCATGAATGGTCTAAAGGATGTGGAGTGTGAGTAGGATCAGCATAATGTGCCACAGCCGACCTTTCCTTTTGAGAAATTTGTCTCTTCATTTAAGACTTCGACAAGGGAACATCACATCAATATTTTTGAGTCCTGTCAAACACGTCGTCGCCACTCGTGCATCATGCATACATCTGGAACAAGATTTAATAATACACGCAGGTATTGAATCAACAGACAGGCTGTCAATGAACAACAGCTTTGAGATCCGTCCGCTGGACCAATAATCGGCTCATGTGCGCTGTGACCACGGTTCAAGTAACGATGCACACAGTAGTTCGAGTTATCGCCGCAGAAACGATGTGGCGAACCTTCTGCTGCATGAGGAAAAGCGAGCACTCGTGATGGGATTTGCGAGGAAAGTGCTAGAGCTAGATTGGAAAGCCATTTTCAGCTGCTCAGGAAGAGGGTTCGTATCCATTCTCCAGAGCCGCTAAATTAGAAGCGCTTTACTAAAGGTCCGTGACAGAAGTCTGACGTACTGATTGTTCGTCTATGCTTACGGAGGGGAATGTGAACCAAGTCCCCGTGGGGTAGGGGGGTTACACTGTTATTTCGTGAAGTTGAGCTCCAGAAATTTGTCAGTTGAAATTTAATCTCGGAAACGTACGAATGAAAATTATGAAATAGGCCTATCCCAGCCCAGACGGCCCCAGACGCATAAGGACGGGTGCTTCGAATGCAACCGGGTGAAATGAAACTCACCTTAGAGATTTTGTTGTGGGAATATCATTATCTGCACCTCGTCCTGCTGTGCTTGCAGCTTTGTCGGAGCCATTGTTTCGGAAGCCATGTGTTTACAAGCGAACAAAGGTGAGGCAAGCGAATTGGACGCTGACACCTAAAGCTAATATTGGTCGGTTACCAGCCGCGGACACTCACCCAAAGAAAAATGATCTGACCGCCACATAAGCAGAGAGGATCCGGATAGGCACGTATTGTAGCCGTCCTACTGGGACAATCGGATAACCGAATAGCCCATCGTGCAGAAAGTAGCAGGACTAACTCGGAGTTCAACTCACGATGTGAATCGCGACCGTGACGGAGGAGGATGTCACGGTGGTGGTGGGCAAGTCTTGCTAAACATTCTGCGGCCGTCACGGTGTTTCACAAAATGTCAAAGACACATACGGTTCCGGTCAGTGTGGTACTATACCTGTAGTATTTGCTTTTGTGCCAGCTCAATACCAAAAATCAAGAGACTTCAACGTTGTTAACACGCCAATAAACTCTATTAAACACGTAGTATCATAAATCTATCCGAGAGACCTGTTATACGTGATTTAGATGGGGAATCTTTGAACAATGTAGAGAAGAATTGCGCAGAAGCTAGTATGTATGCATGCAAGGGAATGAGGGACATATGCCCGTGAAAATAAAAGTAGGAGGATGACGATACTATAGGCATCGACCGCCTCTCCGAATCGGCTCGGACTATGAGTACGTGGAGCCTGTAAGACGGTCTTCGCGGAAGGACTGCGAAAGCTCTTTACAAACCTTCAATGCCCTCAAGCATCCCCACCACAACCCGTCCGATCCGTCCATCCCTAATCGCCTCACAAATGACTGAAATTCCATTCCCAATCGTCCCATCCGCACCCTCTAGGCCATCCCGCATTCCAAACACATCCCCCCTGAGATTCCCAGCCCCGTACATTCGCACGCCCAGTGTCACCCTCACAAACTCGTAGAGTGCACGCGTCCGTGGCGCGAGGTACTTGCTTGCTGGGGTGGGACCGCGCCACGCTACCTCTGTCTTCTCAACACTAGGGCTTGCGCCGCGCACCGCGAACGGCTGTACGCCCAGATATGCGCACCGCAACTCCGTCAGTTTGTTCACTAGCCCTGCGGCAACGGATGCAATGAACACCGGAAGTGCGCCCAGCTCTGCACCTTGTACTGGAGAGGTTGAGAGGGCCGTCACGAGCGGTACCACGCATGCGCTTGCAACCTTGTACATCCGTACGCTTGTCTCGAGCGTTGTCGTGCGATCGAGCGTCTCTCTGAGCGCTGGAATGATAGCTGCCACGAGCGAGGTACTTGTGGTAATATCAGTGAGCGAAGGGAAGGTCTCGAGGAGAGCTGAGCGGAGGAGTCCTGGGAGCGCCTCGCGCAATTCCTCGTTGAGTGCGCGGAGATCGAGCGCCTGGCATATCACGAGAAGGTGTGAGGCGGCAAGGAGAGTAGTCACATCGAGTGCATTGAGGGTGTACCGTGCTGAGATAAGCGCGAGTGAACTGTAGGGTTGAATAGGTTATTCAAGGAAGGAGGATAGAAAAGAAAGGACGTACTTTACGCTCTGATTGTGCATCTCAGCACTAACATTGCCTACGCCCACGTTCATTCCACCAAGCACATTCAACTCGCCCACATATGACGCAGCAGCAATATCAACACCCTGTCCATATAATTGATAAGCCATCAATCACAACCGAACCAGAATCACGCACCTTGAACCCGAAATCCAATCCGACCTCACCACCCGCCAAATTTGGGAACAAGCCCCGGTTCATTGCTGGGTTCACAATCTCCGTAAGCTGCACGAACATCAGCTTCCCGATGTGCGCGAGGCTGAGACGGACATGGTCCATCGCGTTTGTCACTGCGAGCGCTTGGAAGTTGCCTGCGTGGTGAACTTGTCCGGTCTGGTTGTTCGACGCAGAAGGAGGCTCGATGAGCGGATTATCGGTGGCTGTTGGGGTAAGGAATGAGTTGGTATATAGCTACTGGACTGGGGGCGACTTACTGGAGTTGACCTCGGTCGTGACTACTTGTGCTGCATTTGCAAGGTCCTCAAATTGAGGACCGAGCCATTGGGGGGCTGTACGGAGAGAGTAACTGCAGGGGTTTAAGCATTTAGTTTTGGTGAGACTAAAATCCAAACTCACCGATCCTGCCTCAACACCCCATCATCATCGTCGATCTTGACTTCTACCTCATGTTCACTTGCAAAGGAAGATCCGGCGAGCAAAGTGTGCATGAGATGCGCGGAATGAATCTGGATTGAGCCACCGGGAGTCACCACAAAAAAAAAATCAGCTCTATTAACCGCGTGAAAAATCCGAAAAAACGCACCTGTCCAATGTGAGGCCTTGCTTCACTGACGAAGGGATCAAAGCTGCCCTTTGCACCGAGCATCGCTTCAACGGACATGGCTGTTAGAACCTATAACCGCAGACAAGTCAATTCAATGCAAAAAAACAAGGTCAAACATAAAAACACTCACGGCACCCAACACGCTCACTCCCCGTGCGCCTCTCACAACCAATGCACCCACAGCTGCACTAAATGCCGTGCCATTCAGGATCCCCAAGTGTTCCTTGCTCGAGAGCGGGAGGGGGGTGATGCCGGCGATCTGCAAGGCCTGTGGGGCAGGAAGGAGGGCGTATGTTCCATAGTTGTCCACTTTGAGAGTATCTATGGGTAGGTTAAGGGTATCGCTTGAAGGTGGGAGGGGGATATTCGCGGAGAAGGGAGACAAATCAGGTGAAGAGTCTGACGAAGATGTTTCGGTTGACAAGGGGGTTGAGGAAGTGCTGGATATAGCTGAAGAGGGGGAGGGCAAGGGAACCCAAGCCCTGATAGCGGGGTTTCCAATGAGTGTTCCAGCAATATAGGAAAGAGAAGATAGGTCTGTGAGAAAGGAATTAGGACCTCAGCAAGGTAAGGAACAAGAAATAAATTGCTCACCTCCACTGGCACTGACGCTGCCTCTTAAAGGAACGACTGGGGTAACACCTTTAGTAAGGAGCTCTGCCATTTTCTGGACAAGTTCCCAACGGATACCGCTGTGTCCGCGCATGAGACTGTTAGCGCGAACAAGGAGAGCAGCACGTGTCCAAGGGGGTGGCATTGTAGTGCTGGTGAATGGATCAGAGAGCGGTGCGGGAGAAGGAAAAGCGTTGCTATCGAAAGTAGAGAGGGTGGGGATAGCAGTAGAGGAACTCGGTGCGTAAGTAGGGAGAATCACGCCAGCATGTTGGTGTTGGAGGAGAGCAGCGCCGAGTGCAATAGGGTCATCTGTCCTTGTGTCCGCGCTGCCACCAAAACCAGTACTAACACCATAGACACTGATGCCTGCTGCGACCTTACTTTCAATGACAGCACGGGAAGCAGATACTTTTGCTTTGACATGTTGATCATCAGTAAGTTGAATCTTAACTGGATTACTGGAACCAGATGAAGGTGGGTAGAGCGCGATAGCAGCAATTTGAGCGAGGGATAAGGAAGACCCAGTGATGGTAATGGGAGATCCTGTGCTGCGGGAGAAAGAATGTCAATAAGTACTGGCAATGCTTATGTGAACGAGGTTAACATACAGGTAGGAGTCTAACTCCTTGACGTCCTGAACATATTGAGAGACGAGAGCGTGAGTAGCCATTGTGAGGTGAAGAAGGATGGGTTGTGGTAAGTGCTGGCAGGTATTAAACTGTTTATATAGTCTTGTCAGTCCGAGTTAGAATGCAGACTTCGTAACAAATACTTACTGGGTTTTATATGTGTTTCTCTTCGAACGGCGTGATCCGCCCGGTTGAAGCAGTTGCAATTTCCTTCTTTTCTGAACAGGTTTGTTAAACATGACACAGTATGTGACACAGCACTTTAATGGTAGACGCTCACTTGAATCGAGATTCGAGATCCATACGTTCTCTTCGCGACCCCCCTCTTGAGTTAACCCCCCTAGGGGGGTCACTCTATGATCCGTGCCAGCAACGTACTTACTGTCACCGTGGCCAATTGAATTGAAACCACGTACTTTCGCGGGAGAACCGTATACTCGTGACCTAGCTCAAGACATCACGTAGTATCCTCACCCCAGTTCAATCGAAACCGTCATGCTATCGGTGGCTCATAGTATCCGCCCTACTCCGATTCCAGAACACAAATAACTTCATGCTGTACTCTTCGCTATTCGCGGTTTCATTCTTCTTGTGCGCAAGCTCCATCACGGCTGAAACAAACGTTCGTCCTGTCTTTCAGTTTCACTCAGTGAGAATATGTTTGGATTATTCTGTGTGATATCCGCAGTTGATTCGTCGGTCCATCCCCGTCCTGTCAAGGTATCACAGGCTTTTGTGCATACAAGATTATCTCCACTTATCTCAATGATCCGGGCCAGGATCATTTTTACAGGCATCCTTTTCCTTGCCTGCCGCGTTTGCATGTGACCCTTATTCTTATCTTATCTCTTGTATTGTATTGTATCGTATGATCTCTCTGGTTGATTCAGCGAAGCTTACTCGTGAGCAAATCTACGAATCTCGCCTATGGATAGTACACACTAACTTGAAGCATACCATTACTTGGGCCTCTAGGTTCCTAATGCCATTCGCCCGATGGAGACGCCATTCCTCGTTTCTCGCAGCTCACGTCGGTAGCAGTCCACCCAATGATTCAACACACATTCCCGTTATGTTCTCCCACTTGCAGTCAATGCTAGCATCTTCAACGTCGCGCACTACTAAATAAATCAAGTTCCATCCGGCAACAATTTTTATCTGCCGGCTCTACATATCACTTGTTTCGAGCCGGCGCAAATATATCGTCTTCTGAAGCAGAATTCTCTGGCCAGTTTCAGATTTTAGATTGCTGAGGGACGACTTGATCTTCATTTCGCCTCCTGAGTCCCGAGCTGCATCCCGAACATGCTTGCTCGGGGCGGCAGAGACCGATAGTCTAGTATGTAGTACTAGTATATTCCTCATGAATTAACTTGATGGTTTATGTGCCGATCTAGTATACTGCTACCACGATGGGGGCCCATACCATAACAGTAAGCGTAGCGGCTCGTCATTGGCAAAACACCAATTTGTTATTAGCCCCGTATTCTGCCGTTCATTGGTAGTGAATGTGGACAAGTCATTTCCTGCCCTTTTATCGGTACTTGCCGCGGACTAGGCCTAGCGCAGGCTTTTCAGCGGGATTCCTGGTTCTTGGTTCACTTTGGATTATATCGTCAAAGTCTTTGGGATGCGTACCACAGGATCCAGGGCCTATACTACCCTGAACTTCTTGCTCCAACCCCGGCTACTACACCAACCGACTACGATAATGTATGCTAGATTCGGCGGCATTGATGTCGTGGGAAGTGGGTATGTAAAGCGTTTTGGCAGATTCATTATCTGCTAAGATTAGGATACTGGTCGCCGATCAATACCCTTTATCACGTCACGACCTGACAAGCCGCAGTCTGCCGTCGTACTATATTTTCCTCGTGTTCGAGGCCGCGAGTGACTAAAGCTTAAATGGTCAAAGGTTTCAGGACAGCAAGATCACAATCTAGTCGTCACTGCCACAGGTGGTGCACAAAATTGATGTCACATTGTCATCATGGCGGGTTAGACTGCGAGTGGGTCATTATGTAATCGGAGTTCGGCGCAAAATCAGCCTTGAACTATTTTAATTGGCTCCTTGCCAAATATTCATATTTAGACATGTGAATTATTTTGACAAACTTTTGAATTAGCTTTCCTATCATGGGATACATGCTATAACATATGATGAGTGGGATATGGTTAACAACTTGACTATGTGTATCAGGTTGATTTTAACTAATATAAATTTTTTATTGTATGGTTGGGTGACTATCTGTAGGCAAAAATATGCAGAATAGATTATAATGGACTTTGAAACATATTTGCAAAAGATAAGCTGCACAGAAAACTAAACTGTAATACATTCTACATATTATAAGGATGGAGCGATTTCGAAATTTGTGTGACTGCCATGTGTATGTGCCACTTGAGCCCCTTTGAGGCTCCACTGAGCACCACCATCATGAGCGCAGATATTCTGTATCCTAGATCTACTCTCCCTCAATTTAATCTTTAATGTGTCTCAGTCGTCCAAGTCTCCAAGAGCTTCACTTGCACTTACCATCATTCGAGTGCTCCTGCACTCCAGTGTCAATGTTTGATGCCCATAGACCTGTCATGTCTCCGACATCAACAATGCTGTTGACTTCCTTTCAAACGGCTTAGTGCGAAATGTGTGAGTGTGAGTCTTTGATTCATCTGTTAAACGTGGTCACATAAGCAGGTCCAACAGAAGGAAAACTGTGATTTACGGTCCAGCTTGAGTGTGCTGGATTGAAAGAGAATGTGATGTGAGGCAGGCAATGTGTCATATCCCATGTTCCGGACCTGGACCAATCACACAATCATCTCTGGACTTCTGGATCCGGTCAGCTCCTATCTTCCGTGCCTTTTCCCTTTGGTATTTCCCTTATCAGTTAGTATGCTTTATTTTCTGTTCCTCATTCATTTCTGTCTTCATTTTACTAAGTTCCGATAGACTAGTGTTAGGTGTCACACATGCTCCGTCCATAGCCTTGCACTGTGCAAACTGATTCTCCGTTATGTCCTTTGTAGTATATAAACCCTGTAAAGTCTTTGTATTTCCTCAGTTCAAATATTATCTTAGACTCTGCTCATTCCCTCCTCCGTCCGACTTGAAGTCTCTTCTCATTGTCTCCAACAGTCTTAGGATCGACTCCTATTGACTTACCACCTCCGCCTCTACCTTAGGTAGTCCTCCGCTGTTTCCTTTCTAGTTTGGACATCGTCCAGATTAGTCTTATCACTTGTTCCCAAATGTCTGCCGGAATTCCCGCGCATCGGACTCTGGACTCCGGACATCGTCCTTTAGCCCTTGGAAGTTAAGGGCACGTACTCGGGTAAGGGGCGCAGTGCACGAGCTGAAGCCAAGCCCTTCGGATCTGAACCCTTGAGCACGTTCTTAACACAATGTCACACTCTCCTGTGAGGAATCTGAACCTCAATGAATCTCCAATGAAGAGTGCTGATGCAGATGGGACTTTTGAGAGCATGATGTCGCTGAGACACTCGAAGTGCTGTCAGCAACAGAGAATGAAGAGGAAAAGACAATGAAGAATGTAGTGTGTAAGCCCATCTCTTATTGTAATTCATGGTAGAAAACATCTGAAGGTGAATGGACCGCTTGTATTGAATAAAATAATCTGGATTTTATTGGCACTCCAATGGATGATCTGCTACTATAGTATACTCTGGTGAACAACACAGAGGAGATGGCTTTGCTTGATGACAAAGAGGATCTGAGAATGTTAGCAGCCACCCTGGTTGCTGCTAGCTGGAGTTAACTCAATCATATCAAGACTTGGAACCCTGGACAACTTCTTCCTGGTCCACATTGCAATACTTCATAGCAAGCCTTATTGTATGAGAGTCAGAATGATTGTGCTTTTATTACAACCATGAGCATTACTAATGTTCAAACATTTGGTTTAATCCTTACATCTGGTTGTTGAACTCTGAGCAATCTGTTAAGTCAATGGCTAATGGATCTGAGATGGGACAATAAGGAAGTAGGTCAGTGCAAGTACAACCCAAAAAGAACAATGGATGAGTGATGTTTGACATTGACTCATGCTCTCCAATATATGTCTACAATTTTCATTCCTATTCTATCTGCACTTAAAACAGTCCAGAATTTGTAGCAACAACTCAGTCCATTTCCAGAGACTGAGATGTGAGTACATAGTTTCAGTTGATGTATGAATCTGTTTCCAGATACTGAGATTACATTTTGTGCTTCTAGCTCTCTCCTGTCTTGTCTAATCACTCTAGGGATCTGCACAGGTATACCCCCAGGTGTGTGCAGTTGGACCCATACCTAGATATACCTGTACCTGGTGCAGGTATGGGTTTTCTTGCAGGTATCAACAAAATGGACCTGGGATATTACCTATGAGGGGTAAACCCGTGTTTTGGTCAGCTGCCAGTGCTTAGCACATATGTCTAGCACATATTTGTAAATGTGATTGCCATGATCATGTTGGTATGAATTGAATTGGCCTTTTCATAAGCTAGACCATGGGTTGCTAGATAAGGAGCACAGGATAGAAAAGTCATGTGGTGCTAGATGTGGCGTAAACATAATATTATCAACCTCGTTTGCCCAGTTGGTAGGCTTTCCATGCTGTGGGGATTTAGATCAAATATCCTCAAAGACATTAGGCTCTGTCTGTGTGCCAACATGCACATGCGTAAGTGGTGGACCGTGGTGGATGTGAGGCAAGTTGAGTTCTCACCTCCATTACAAGAAACTCTCCCTTCAATGATTTTTTCTGCTTCTTCATACCTTCAGTTATCTCTTCATGGTTTCATTCATGGGATGTAGGTGTGAGGGATGAGATTGGGAGCTACACAGTTGTAGGCATGGTGACTTCAGGTTGTACTGGTTTGGATGCAGTGGAATGTTTAACTCTGTTCTTTGATTGTTGCCAGAATTCATGGTGTATGGTGTTATCAACCACATATTTAAGTTTATGAGGCAGTGAAGAATCTGCATGGTCCCACAACCAGTCCCACTGCTTGAGGTAAATTTTCCAGTGGGTAAAAAGATTGTTGGAAAGTGGGCCTGCTTCTTCTTCAGCAATATGAGCAAGTTCAAGCCAAGAATCAATGTGATTCAGCTCTTTATCTCATTCCGAGAGATTGGAGCATGTATCTATAGCACATTGTGCCATTGCTATGAGCTCTGTAGCCTGCATAATAGTGGTGAGGGCAAGGGAAAGGCAAGGAAGATTATACAAAAAAAGGAATAGGCAATCAAGTTGTTGGAAATACAGTATATGAAGCACTAGTGTACCATCTCCATAGGGAGCTCTATAGTACAAAATTTTATGCCAATGAAAATTCTATAAGGAAACAAGGGAAAATAAGCAATTTTTCGAAATTTCCCATGTTGTTTCAAATTTTGGCTGTCAGAAAAAGTTATGCTCCTTCATCTCCCCCAGACCCTGATCATATTACACATATGCCTCATGTGACAAAGAAAGCTGCTTTGTCGAGTGATCATGCAGCATTGAAGTTTGAACAGTAAAGGACTCAACATGCAACAAGCAGCCTTCGCAGTTAAGAAGTACCACTCCCACCATTGTGTTGGGCTTGCAACAGAAATTTTGACTGCACTACTAGATGCTGAAACTGCAAGCAGATGGCTTCTGTAGATCATACTTAGCATCTCCCAAGCATCTCCTTGCTTGTATACCTGCCCAGTTACCCAGAAATACCATTTCTTGCAACATGTTTCAAATTTTGTCAGAAATTTTTTCAACTCCTCAATTTTCAAAATTCTAACGAGGTAGCCTTAATTTACAAGCCAAAAGATTGCATTTGCGCTACTCTACGGTACCAAGCGGTCAAATTTCGAGGACTAGAATTAGATACATTTTCAAGTTCGGGCTAATCCGAGAGGGTGGAAAAGTGCTACTAGTTTTCTCACGTGCGGCAACAGTGCAGTGAACGCGAAAGTGACGGCGGCGGGCAACGGCCTACTCTGAGCTTCCTGATAATCAAAAATACGGCAGGTTGGGGCACCTCACATTCTATGAACACCTGGCTTGGACCCTCAACATCGCTGCGGCAGTATTCCACTATCACCTATCTTCACATGTCATCATTCGCATGCTCAGTATCGCCGCCGATCCCTACCACGATCCTCAGGTTCAGTATCGTACCCAGATGAAACCTTCATGTGTCTTCTTTCCGACTGGTCTGTATCTATCACGAAGGTTGCCGTTAGCTCCACGGACGCGGTGAGAAACGTAGGTTCGACATGACCATTATCACACCACAGTAGCAACACCCACGGATGCTTGCTTCGAGTTGATGTATTGATAAGGGAATCCACGCTTCCACTCATTTTTGCTGCATCTCGCTTGGATACCAAAACGCGTTGTCCATCATGCGTGCTACTGAACTCGGGAGCAACCCAAGTGTCGACTCGCCATGCTTCTTGTCTACCGTCATTAATGAGCTCTCGGGCCGTCAGCCACGACAACGCGAGAAACGTGGATAGCGAGATTAGCTTGGCGATGTCTGCCCAACACCGCAGCAGCATCCAAAACGTTTGTTAATCATGACACGGATATACCGGCCTTCAGCTTTCCTTTGTGGTTGCCGCATGTGTAAGAACTTCAGTCGCTTGGAAACGCAAAGCAATGTCGTCAATGATTCGATAGTCCTGCAGCTCTGAAATTTGTATACCGAGAGCAGTGTGAGCTTACTTTTTCTTAGTTTGTTTGAAGGCCGACTCCCACTACGAACCCCGCGTCACTACGCTAGCCAGCTAGCAGGTTATCGCTCCGATATCAAAGGTGGTGGCTCTGCCTGCCACTGCCTCGTATCTCTATTTTAGTAAAACATCCTAAACATCTTACCATATTAGTGTCTGCTAAAGACGGAGGGAGAGAGGCCGTTCTACCAACTTGAGCTCAGACAAATACCATCTTTTCATAGGACAAGGTTTTCGTTGCTATGATCGGACCAGACCACCTCTTGTAGTACTTCCTGGGTGTCTATAGTAGCAGCCGATATCAGTGCGGATAATGTCCTTCAAATATCCGTACATACGCCGTTCCGTCGAGTCATCGCCATCTCGTTCCGCACTTGCGTTACTGGCCGTGTACATCGCCTCTTCTCAAATATGACGTTTGCTGTGATCAGGACTCGGCGCGCGTGGCCCTTGTTTTATGGGCGGCAATCTCATTTCTGTCAGTGACCCCCCCTTTCAAATATTCACTGTATGATTTTTTTTTACAATGTACACGTGCTGGTGGAATTTAGAGGGATTAGAAAGTTTCAAGGGTGAGGCCTAGGTTCACGGTTTCAACTTTGCTTGTATCTGATCATCCGTAATACGGCTTGGCAATCAGTCGACTAGCGGTTCCGGTATGACTGGTATAGGGATGCTGCACGTGAGTCTTGAGCTTGAAAGCTTGATAACTTGTTCGTCACCCTAAAGTTCTCTCTCGTTCTCCCAGAATCTCTCTCATCTTTACCGTATTTCACACGTCGGGCTCCGGAATCCAGAATACAGTCAGTGATCACTGCCAAGACGGACAGGTACTTGCCTAGGCAAGTTGATCTTTCTGGTTATTCGCTAGCGTTCTCGCTTTGTGGTGACACGGCGGCCAGGTACAAGTCTAAACCAGTCTATTTCATTTCCTCGATCTTGAATATATGGCCGGCAACACTTGCACACGATTACCGGTGACGTTGGTTCAGAAGCGTGATTTGGAAACTTGCAGGGTACGGACTCCTTGGTTGGTTCAATTGTCAATCAAGATACGACGCGAGCGGTGTGAAGTTCTTCGCACATTTATCGGTACCGATCCGAATGTTTTCAGGAAGAACCAAATATCAAGGCTGCCTACGGCTGTCTAAGTAATAGTTATACATCTAACCCAGTCGTATAAATCCAGGTATCATGCCATGAAATGCTATGTTAATGATAGTTATCTATATGAGGTATAAAAGGAGCAGGTACAACGAAACAAACCAAATGTCGTGATAGTACACCAACGGCGAACGTTCCAGACCTTTCGTGCAATCGAATCCCCAGGGGAGAGTGTTGCCCTTGGAGACAGTACTAAGCCACCAGGGCTTGCTTTCCTTACTCTCCACAACACATGTCTGTTCGGGCTCAAGCTTGCTCTCAGTGAGCCATGCCTCTCCACGAACAAACATGTCCCTGTCAGGCCATACTTCGAGGATCTCACATAGGAAACCATCTGTCTCGAGCGTATACGTTCTGCGGAGTTCCCGCTTGCCACCGACGACATTTGTCTGGGCGTCAAGGAGGGCAAATTGTGGGCTGCGAAGCATTTTGCGGAATGTCTGGCCAATGGGGAATTTCTCGTCTAGAAATAGACGTTCGAAGTCGGGGTGTGTGATGGTGACTTTGGATGTAGCGGTGCAGACGATTCGTGAAGCACACACGAGATGTACTTGCCGCGACTGCGTTATGGGATCCTCAGGCGAGGCCGGTTTCAGCCGTGGCGAGCCGTTGGCGTACACGAGCTCAATAAATATGGGCCGAGCAAAGAACGTGCTATAAAAAGGCGGTTATTTATTAGCAAGTGACATTGTATCCAACTTGAATTGACATACCTCATCAGTCGCTGGAGGTCACCTTGAGCTGCAAGCATGATGCGCTCAATGCCAGTGGTATCCTCGGGAACGCATGACAACTGTAAAGGCGGAGGTTGAGATAGGTCGAAAGCATGACGATAGTATCGTTACCTCTACGGACGTAGATGCGTTGTTAAATGAGTCCTTACTGAGTGGCATTATGGCGCGTGCTGTACAAAGAGCGAATGAAAAGAAGGTCTAAGGTGCTCGGTGAATGAGTCCTAGGCTTATAAGGCTCTCGGACTCCCACAGTACGACACGGAGCACAATGAAATTTGAAATCAAGTTCTTCGCTTCACTTCCATCGGACGGAGCCAAATGATGTAGTGATAAGTGAAGCGAAGGATCTTGTAAGCCTATCTTGTCTATCCATGATTACTCGGTCGCGATTTGGTTATCAACTCAACATGGCTTTATTGTACGTGAAAACATGAGAATCTTTACGTACTGGATGATAAATGGGCGCGCTATACAACTGCATGCTTATGTTAAACACAATCAATACGTGTATTAGCTCACCCACTAGAGACTACGTCATGGACAACTCGTGTCGCGTGCCACACACCGTACAACAACTATTTTCGAGAAGAGAAGCGAAGCAGAGTACCGAGATGGGCCTGCAGTCAGGCCTAGTCAGGTCCGACCGGGACTCGGAGTTGTGAGCGCAAGGGTCGATCTCAATTAGCGCTGATTCAAAAATATCATTAGTGTTGATCAATATCGCTTGGCCGGTCTGGACCGGCTGTCTCGCAACTTGATCCATACTTTGGACCTGGCAACTATTATATACGTTCAGGCATGCAAAGGTACTGGACAAAGATCACGACCGACTGGAAGCTGCCATGCTAGTGAAAGTGCATTCTCACTCGCACAAAGTCGTCGGTTCTACTGTGGAACCGCCTAGATCGTATCGAGCCTCGAGGACCACAGGTGTCGAGACTATTACTCAGACAAACTCCTACGCCTGACCCTGCAGCACGCAATATTAACATGATTAGTGTCAATGTTTATGAGTAAGTACGCGGTGCATGTCTAGGTTTCTGGAAATCATCATTCACGTCACGGTGTGCAGCCACTTGCAAGTTGTTGCATAACGTGTAAACTTTTCAAGTTCAGCCAAAGTCGCTCCCCCCCAGCGGCAGTTCTGCCATAATGTGGGCGATTCTAAAGGATTCGTCTTTTCTCAGAAGCGTATCATCGCCCCCTCGGTATTATCTCTATGTCATCCTCTTCGGATCCGTTCTCGGTAGGACAGACTCTTATCTTCAACTTCATTTCATGACAAACATCCCAGATCTCAAGATATAGATATACCACCAATCTCCCGATAGACCCCCAACAATTGATTGTGCAGGTATAAGTCTATCAAGCAAAGTATGTAGCTCATGGCCTGTAACTGAAGTTGTACCACTTGGTGCCTGCCGTGGTAGGGCCGCATACCACCTCAAATCTCGATTGATATTGATCTCTGGCTGTGCCCAATACATCCAATTGTATTCATTGAACTTCTGTTTATCTTATGACGCATCAGTGCCTGCCTCAGGCTGCCTGGCCGGCCATGTGCTGCGTCGCATATCGATCCTGTGTCAGCGTGCGCGGTGCCCTCTTACCACCACTCGGCTGTCGCCAGCCCGTGGCAAAAACTAGTCGCCAGCAGCGCAATACAGGAACGTAATAAAAAGACAAGGGAAACCTTGTCGGCCCTGATAAAAATTGGTGAATAGCACCAGGTCACAGTAGAAATTGCTTCAAATACCGCCCCAAATATCCTCTAGCAGTACTTCAATCAACGATAAATGATTTCAATAGGCTGAGATCTTGCGAGTTGAAGTTGCAAGGCGAACATAAGGCCATGTATTGTTTTCCCGAACAACTACCACCCGAAACATGTCCTAATTTGGTAGTTCCACCATATCAACATTAATTTCTGGCCTCTCCAACCCAGCCCAAACCTCACCCTGCTCCTCTCTATGTAGCGGGCTTGCATTCATCATTCATAATTGAAAAAAAACATGCTATGACATACTGAACTGTCATATATGCTACCAATGCATAATGGGGAATGCATAATAGCAATTTGCAAGAAAAAGAACAAAAATATCAATGAACGTCACGGTATTATAGAGGTCCTTGCTGAACGGTGAATGACTCAATGAGATCTTCACCTCTGCTCGCGTCTTGCTGTAGGAGCCGAACAAATTCATATTGGGCACAGATCACAGCATCCCTGACTGTCTTCTTTTGTCTACGTGTATAAAGGTTCGCCTGGGGGAGACTACTTAACATTACTATAGTCAGACCAGAGTATACTAGCAAAATGAGTCATTCTATCTATCTTGATATACCGACGCATTCGGGGGCCACGTGGGTGAAAGGTATGCGAAGCAGGTACAGGTACTTACTGCCAGTGTTCTCGCGGATTGCTCAGGTATTACTTCGATGTCACGCAATCCAGTCTATTCATAATTAATCGTAGTCAAATAAGTAGCCAACTGTGTGGGGGTGGGGCAGCCACTAGTGTTGCTGTATTGATATTTGACATGGGCGCGCCGGCGGTAGAAGGCGATCGGTCGATTCTATAAATCGCGGAAGCGAAGGTTGCATGACGAACCCGAGTCGCAAACGTGCTTCGTAAGAAAGATCAAGACACGTGAAGGTCTAGTGAATCAAATTCATTCAGTAATACCCTAATGAACAGTATTTCCTTTGCGCACGGACAGCCACTCAGGCTTCGTGTCCGTTACGACAGAAGGGGTGTTTAAGTCAGCCCTCTGCTCCATCAGCCATGCTTCTCCACGGACAAACATGTCTCTGTCCGGAAATACTTCCAAGATTTCTGCAACGAAGCCCTCGGTTTCCAGCTTATACGTTCTCCGAAGTTCACGCTTCCCATCAATTGCCTGTGTCTCTACGTTGAGGAGACTAAACTTTGGAGTACGATTAAGTCGTCGGAAAGTCTGCCCGATTGGGAATTTTTCATCAAGAAATAGACGCTCGCATTGGGGAGAGGTGATGGTAACAGTGGATGTTGCAATGCAGACAGTGCATGACGCACACACGAGATGCACCTGTCGTGATTGTGTGATGGGGTTCTCTGAACTTGCTGGGGTAAGACGGGAAGAGCAGTGTGCGTAGATAAGTTCGATAAAGATAGGGCGGCCAAAATATGAGCTGGAGAGTAAAAGTATTAATGTCTGGCTTAGCGCAGCGAGAGGAAATGAATCATTACCTCAGTAGTCTCTGTAAATCGCCCTGTGCCGCAAGCATTATGCGCTCCAAGCCAGTAGTATCATCTGGAACACATGTCAGCTTTTTGATGTCGTCAGCTTGCGATAGCCTCAACGGAAAGCGAGATTAAACATACCTCGACATTGGTAGATGCAGTACTATATGAATCATTGGCCAACATGCTTGGCTGCAAACTAAGAAGGGCTGTTGGACGAACTATTGAAGTTTTGATGAGGAAAAGAAAGTCGAATTTTCTGCATATTTAACGTTAGACAACAGGGACGATTGAGAAAATTTGAAGTATGTTCCGTCCGATATCTATGCTCGCAAGCACATTTACCAAGCACAACTAAGCAGTACCAGGCGGGCGGTCCATATACCCATGCATTGATATCTGCGAACTCGAAGGATTAAGCAACTATATAGATCTTATCTGATGACGTACGATATGTACCGTGGCAGTCATTCGTGTACCTGCAGTCGATATTTAGGCTTTAGGCAGTCAAGCCGCGGACGAAAGGCCTCGACCCCTCCCAACCGGGAATCCAACAAGAGTCGAGATCACAGTCGCACGCACATGGTTTTTTTGTCATGTATAACGCCGCCGTCTGTCGATCGTCATCACGAAGGTGATCACGAGTCTTCATTATCCCAATATTAATAATCCCTATAGAACACATATCAGCAGAGGCCAAAAATACCAAGACAGATGTTCAGCGGGTTGTGCACATGAATGCTGGCCTAGGGCGATGACTCTGTCGATGAATGAAATAAACCATTGGCACGTAGTATGCACTGGCAGGAGTCGCAGGACCCAGTGAAAACAATTGCACTTTATCATACCTGAGCCAACTTATTGGCGCGACATGAACTGCTAACGATAATCTCTATGTACCTCTGAGACAGAAGGTATTTATTCTGGAATACAGCCTCCCCCAAGAGCTGTTGAAGATGGTGGTGGTAGTAAACTGGACTCCGTGCCGTGAGAATAAAGACTTCAGGGTTGTTGCTGACTCAAGCAGTACGGTCTGAAAACTTGATCTCAGATTCTCGGTGCATTCAAAGCATGGCAAGTGCACTTCATAACTTGCAATCGTCTTTAATGACTGTCGTTATCAGGGCAAGGCAAAGAAGACTAGAAAATTTGCCGCCGTTAAACGCCTCTTGAACCCCAATGATGCTAGATTGTGCGTTGCCTGACCAGCCGCTCCCCTTTGTCGCTGAATCCTTTGATGCAGGAAAGAGAACCAATTGAAGCAGAAGAAGAAAGAAGAGGAAGAGAAAGCCAAGGCGGTCCGTCGGGTGTGAGTCTTCCGTAACCTATTGGGCATGCAACTGTAAGTAACCCATGCATTTCAGACCACAGATCGCATCGTCCATGTTCCTTGCGCACAACACCGAACTTGTGCCACCTTACCGAGTGTTGATCGACACAAACTTCATAAATTTCAGTTTACAAAATAAACTTGAACTAGTCAGTGGTATGATGGACTGTTTATTTGCTAAATGTTTGTGGTTTTGTCGCAATTGCCGGGTATCTGTTGACAGTAATATTGACAGGCATACCCTGTGTTACGGACTGTGTTATGGCTGAATTAGAGAAGCTCGGCCACCGGTATCGTATAGCACTTCGGTAAGACAATATTTATCATGCTGTCGGCGCATTCATTTACGTTTTTCATCAGTGTTGCTCGAGATCCACGATTCGAGCGATTGAACTGCAGCCATTCCGGAACGTACGCAGATGACTGCTTGGTGCAGCGTGTCACCGCTCACAAGTGCTATATTGTCGCTACTTGCGATCAAGAACTCCGGAGGCGTATACGACAGATTCCTGGCGTACCGCTAATGTATGTCGCCAGCAGGCGTTATGCCATCGAACGGCTTCCTGATCAAGGCGCTCCTGGTTCATGATATGTTGAAGACTAAAAAGTACATCTACAGTTACTTTTTAATGATACTCAGTGCGACCGGCTGCAAGTGATTCATTCAGTATGTCCCATTTGGTTAGAACCGTGTACATCGAGCAGCTGTACACTCTGAGCGCAGATACCCGTGTCATGCTGTATAAGACGAGAAGTTTCGATTGCATTCCAAACCCTAGAATTTGGGGGATACGCCAGCCCTGGGGCCCTTATCTGCATCACCACGGAATTAAGTGGAAAGGGTACGTATGTGCCTGTGATAACGGGAGTGCTAAGGTGCCATGATGTATTGTTCTGATGCCAACCTAATGATTCCCAATCACTATCTGGACCCAACTTGTCCGGGTTCTCTTCCTGAAGGCATGCGATGCTAAGCTCATGGAGCTACGTTTGAGTTGTCCCGGAGCACGTCCGGGCATTGTACTCTTATCAGATTTCCCTCGTCACGTCATTTTGTTCCAGATTTCTCGTTCTCGTGCGACCTTGCTATTTTACAGCATCATTCTCGCACAATTTCCGACATCCATGATTGTGCACTCCTCCTTATATAATGCTCAGTTTCGGTATGCACATCCCGAGTCAACTTAAATCTCATGACTAACGTCAATTAAACTCTTGAGCGCTACCGTAGGGGGATAAGCATTTATGTATGCGGCGCGCGCGAGTTTAGGCTCAGCTAGCTTCTAGATCTGTGCCTGAAAACACTAGATTCTCAACGTTGCAACAGGTATCGATCTGATCCCTCAGTGTCACACTTACGACCCAAAAGTCTTTACCCGGTGGTCCTGTAGGCCCAGCGATTCACCTTCGATTCGAGTTCGAGTTCCGGGAGATCAACGATAATCTGAACCTCAGGCTATTCTCGCGCTGTGTCAAGCCCGCGAACTCTAAAGATTTGCTTTTTTTTCTGTCCACTTTTGTCCGTTGAAAGATGGGTGTGTGAAGGTGCTGACGGTAAGGTGACTTAGCGCAAGCTCGACCGCAGATGCGGTAGTAGAATAAGAATTCTGTAAAAGGAGAGACGAGTGAGGTGGTGGACTTGGTTGGTTGGCGGTGGTCTGGGAGGCTCGTGTTCTCTAGTCCTTTAGTAGCGCTAGGCCTATTGAGGGCGAGCGAGAGGTGGATGATGATTTGCTTGAATGATAACGGCCACTTGCTAGGTGTCCACTTTTTGAACTTCAATTTCTACAGCCTGCTAAATTCGTTGGTATTGCGTAGGTCATGGCCTGGCGTCATTGGTCAACTTGACGAGCTGCAGATTCCGCAGTATGGGAAATATGAGGATACTTAAACTGACCTCATGCTCTTGCTGTATTTTCTCTGTGACATGGTACACGCTGCTATATATGCCCAACTCTCGATTGATCAAGTTCTCATGTAGGACTCAGCTTCCTCAGTACCATAGCCTTGAAACGGTGGCTGAGGCCGCCGCCGAGCTACTGATTTGTAGAACCTTGTCATTCCATAGATCGTCCGCGGAGCTGATGTCATCTACATCCTCGGACTATGCGCGTGAGCAACCAGTCCTAGTCATGTGGTGTGATATTGGAAGAGTTAAGAATGGGCAATCGCTATGGTTGCACCGTGCCAGTACATGCATTCGAGTGGGAATACCACGAGCGACCTTCAACGTTCAACTGCTGCTCTATTGTCAATGAAGTCCAAGTACCCAATGTGCAATGAAGAAATGGACTGACCCCTTTGATTACGCGACCGCGGCGCCCGTGAAGACAATTACGGGGACTGTCATGCTAGGCATCCAAGATATCATAACGCTCACCATTTCTCGCACAGTTCTCTGTCACTGCTCGACCATTGAAAGGAACGACTTTCTTTCTTCGTCTATAAAGGGCTGTCAAGGGGAGACTACTGCTCAATGCGGTGCAGTCTGCTGAGGGTCGAAATAATTAATTACAAACGAAAGATCTGCAAGCCGTTCTGTCTGTCCAAAGACAGAGACTCCAAGCTGACTGCAAGGGTCTACTTGTTAAGCAAGAGACTCGCAAATCTATTTCGTCGACAACCAACCAAATTTCGGAAGAGTCCACTCGGAGTCCACTGCTGTCATAGTGGTACTAGATCTAGTCGCTGAGTTCAAAATGCGTTGTCTCGTGTTGTTTCATTCATCCTAACTTGTTGCTCGTGACCACTGGCAAGACGCGTTCCTCTTCATTTTTTTCATTTCATAAAATCATCAGATATCGAAATAGTTGACTTTGCTCTTGCGAGTCTATCGCTGCCACAGTGACCAACAAGAATGTCGACCAGCTGGCGTTCACCATTTCCCATCCTTCCTGCACCACAAACTACGCCTGTCTCCACAAATCCCAAGTCTCTGAGACGGCCTATTCACAACCCGTACGATAAATTCACCAAACCGGAGTTCGACGAATGGATTGGTGGAATCACGAGTGCTCTGCGCAGAGCACTTGGTGAGGAAACCCAAGAAGACGTTACGCTTAACGAACACCGGCCACAGGATGTTTACGCAGCTGCCGAGGAAACATTCTCAGACCAGTCGTTCGAAGATTCGTTTGCTGAGATCCAGAGCAGACGCGCCAAAGGCAAGGCTAAAGACCCGCGAGAGGGCTCTGGCCTCGGTGCTCAGCAAAGTCCGATTGAATTGCTTTCCGACTCCGAGTCAGGTGCTGAGAGTGAGGAAGAATACGAGGAGTACTCTGCTATGGAAGCAGAGGGCTTTTGTCCCGAGGAGGAAGGCCAGGGTTACGGTGGCCATCACGAAGCCGGGAACTGGACTGTACACCGCCGCCACTGCCTCGTCGATCCTCAAGTTGAGAAAAATGAGGTGGAGGAGATATCCTCTAGGGAGGAGAGTCCGGACATTATTGAGATATGTTCGGACGAGGAAGAAGATACTCGAGCTCCTATACATGAAACTGGATTCAGTGGCAGGCAATATGCCCGGTCTTCGCAATTGCCTCCTGATGAGGTAGAAGATGAGTTACGTTCTGTCCTGTATAAACAAGAAGGCCAGCTCGATGCAGAAGAAGTCGAAGGTAGGATGCTCTGACAAAGTCATTCGCCATGCGCTAATTGACCTTATATCAAGATTTCCCTCCATCTACCACGCAGCGTCAACCTTCTCTGTCTCCAGAACTTCCTGATCCATGGCAAGGTCCACGAACATACGCAGAAGATTTCTACGCTGGCGGTGATTTCAATGCGCAAGATCAGCTGAACGGCGTTTCCCCTTCTAGTCTTACTCCTGTGCATGACGCGCACGTAGATACATTTCTTTCCGACATAGTACAGAACGACGGGCATTCTTCTGGGCTTCCCAAGACAGAACCTGCTGTAGTCAATGTAGACGTGACCGATGAGGTACTCCCCAATTCGAGCCCTCCTCCGTCATCTCCTGTCGAGGCGCGCTCCAGTCGTAGTCATGTTGATGATTACCAGCTCTCGAATGTGCGAGGGACCCATGGGGAGCACGAAGATCCCGAGAACATTCTTGACCATTTATATCGAGACACAGACGGCCTGTCTCAAGATGAGCAACAAAGTTTGTCGATGCACCACGTTTTGTGTCATGGTTTCACTCAAATCTTTCTTATTTAGTGATTTTCGCTTCGTCATTTGATGAATTCCATAGCGGATCGATGTCCACTCCCCAATCCTACTCCAAACCTACCGAGCATCTTGACTGGAATTGGCCTCCCGCGTTCCCGGGAGGAAAGTTTGCTAGCCGCGCTGGACACCTCGAAACTTCCTCTCCAAGGTCGGGGGTTGACGACGCTGAAGAGGCGCAGGATGAGATCATTATTATTGATGCGGAACATGATGAGGAAGAAGATGGGAGCGAAGAAGCTCTGGGAGGTCCTATTCCACTAGGAACCAGTGACCTTGGGTATGGTGACGAGATTCATCAAGAGAAGGACGAACGCAGCGATGACCAGAACGGATTAGGCTTGGAAGTTGTTGAAGAAGATGTCATTAAGACTCCAGAAGTCGACGAGTTTCCGCTTTTGAACTCCCAGCTGAATGCTGATGAACGCGCCGCAGTGGAGAGTTTCTTCGATCTTCTCAATTGCGAAGCGTTACCTTCAGCAAATGTGACCGAACAAGTTGAGACTACGCTGGTTGACATCAGCGGTATGGTTGCTGCTGAGTTTCTTGGCGGAGATGTGACGTCTCCGCCAGGCATTGAGAAAGCCGGTCAGTGACTTCATGATTCAGTCGCAAATTGTATCACTAAATGCTGCTAGAACAGGCGACATTATGGTGCCAACGGAGGCATCGGGGCCTGGGGATATGGAACTTCGGTCACAGCATCCAGATGCTATGGTAGAATCATGCAACTCAATCGAACCGACCCTTGCCATGGAGATCCAAAATGGTTTTGAGAACGTAACCTTGGAGAATGTCGAACATCATTCTCCTTCTGCTGCGCCCACCTCCACAGTCGGTGGCTCTCTTGAGGAACAACTTGACAAACCCAACGACGAGCCCATCTGTATTGTTGTGGAGATGGAAGCTACTACTCCTATTTCTCGTGGAATGAGTGAAGGGATCGAGGTAGCATCTTTTGCCGGGGATGTGTATGATCTCGATGGCGAATATGTAGTTGAGGAACCTCCTACTACAGAAGCGTCGGTGGTGAGTCTAACCTCAAATGACCTTCATCATTTAAACTTTGCATGCTTTACAGGAGCCGGAGGTTCAGGTCGCTGACCTAGTCAACGTGGTGGCGGAGACTGTTCCTGTCATAGCGAGACCTGCTTCTGCGGAACTATCCTCATTTGATAATCACAATATTTCAGTCTTCCCAATGCCCATATTTTGTGATCCTTCCGTGTCAGACCCTATCATCTCTTCCGGGACCAAGCATTCGCAACTGACTCCTCCACATTTGGACAAACTTCCGGGTACCCCTCACATCATCATCAGCCCGGACTCCACACCAGGCCAACCCACTTCAGTTTCAGTACCCGTCTCCACGTCAATTTTACATACTTTCTCTCGTCGGGAATCGCCATCCGAAGGCAGCAGCGGTCCAAGTGGTCTTTTCACGCCTCGGGAGGGCGAGCCGACTAGTGTGGATACAGGTGATGTCTTTGACACTCCTTCTCCCTCTCATGCAAACCTACCGCTTCCGTCTTCTGACGATGTTGTGGCCTCCGTTACGAGCGCTCTAGCAGAAGAGTCGCGATCTGAAATTGACACCACCATGATCGATGTTTCCGACAACGTCGTAGTTACTGAACCAAGTCCAGCCGGGACATTTACTGGTAACCTAGAAGATGATAAATCTGAACTCGTAGAAGCTATGCAGCTTGGCGTATCCCATCCTTCGTCCGTCGGTGCTGATGCAGAGAATGAAACCGAACAACCACCAACGAAGCCTGCCGCTGGACATCGCTCAGTAGTGGAAGACATTGCAGTAGCTTCGCTAGAATCTGAGGAAGTTCAGCAGGTGGACAGAAGCTCTCTGCCGACAGCAGCAGACCAAACATCTTTACCAGATCATAATCCCCCTGAAGAGGCTCTAGCGTCAGCAGCTGAAGCTCTCCCCGCAGAGGTCCTCGGATCCGCGAACTCCCCCTTACCCAGTCCTCTGTCAGAAGAAGAACCATTGTTATCGCTGGCACCTGGCCGTCAGGTATCACCAGAATCCGTTCGTGAATTTGGCCAAGACGACAGCCAGGAGTACACTGATTCCAAATATGAATTGTGCGTCACATCAATACGAACATTTGATTTATATTCAATGGATTCACAGGGAACACTTCACTAATATCCCGGACACACCGCACGAGTTTCCTGGCGTCCATGAACCCAAGGAGTCTGGAGATGATGAAGACCGAGAATCTCAAATGAAGTCCTCGAAGCGGAGGAGAATGTCACCAGTACAAACTTCCAGTCGTCTCACTCGTTCAATGTCAAGCGTACACAAGAAATCTCAAGGAGATCACAAAGCAACGCGGATTGTGCCAGGTCGCGGCCGGAAGCGGAAGCTCCTCGATAACGGTAGCGATCATGGATCAGCAAGCTCTGGCGCTAGTACCACCGCCAAACTGCTCCAATTCACTAGCGCTAATGGATCACGGGCTTCTTCTATCGTGTCCTCTGCACCAAGTGATTCCTCCTCAATCCAACATCCTCCGCCGCTCTTCCATGCACATGGTGCCATGCATCACCGTCATCGACTGCCACCTCTACCTTCTGCGTCAGTCCGGACTCACAGCACCAAGATCGTATCCCCAGACCCTTCCCACAACCCTGAGCGCCAAAAGGATTACTCTTCGGGTTCGACTCTGTCACGTGCCCCCTCTTCCAACGTTCAGCGTTTTGCTGCGTTGACAAGCTCACCTGTCACTCGCTCTAACTGTCGATTCCATAAAGTCAGTCTACCTAAAGAGGAAGGTGGGCCAAGAGTATGCTTCGTGGTACCCGGTTGCTCTCTTGGTGACAAAGAGCTGATGGACGAAGAGGAGATACAGGATCATGGTCCCGCAACTCATGAGGACTATTCTCGCTTGGTGGGCAATATCGAGGCCTTGGACTTCAATCCCTATTTGGTCGGCATCTTGCGGCAGCTAGTCGGAGTGGACCTGATTCGGGAAAACGAGGTGTTCTTCCTGCTCCAACCCGGAGAGGAAGCACAATACAAGAAAAAAGGCCGAAAATCGACCGCAGGATTAAAGCTTTCCGCATCCCTGTCACAGAGTGCTACCACCTCGCCACAAGCTTCAGTGGCGTCCCGGCGTTCACCAGTGACATCGATCTCGCGGCCACCCGTTTCCACTGCAGGATCAATCGCGACATCATTTAGCTCGTCCTTATCTGAGGTGCAGCTATACAATACATCTTCATTATTCTCGGCGTCAGGTGAAGAGTCGTCGGATGAAGAAGACAGTTCTCCCAAACTTAAACGTCGACGAAAGGAATCTGTTCCTGATAAAGAAACCCGTGCCGACGTAGAAGGGGGCAATTTCCCTCAAGATCCACTATCGAAAGGTCCGCAGCGATCGACCCATAACCTGAAACGGAGACAGAGCAAACGACAAGCTGTAGATTCAGCTGCATACAAGCCTCATACAGAAGATGTAGAGGGCCCTGATAGCGGAGCAGACGGATTAGGCAAGGATCGTCGCAAGATGAAAAAGATCAAACGGAACAAGCGGTCTCGTGTAACAGATGAAGAACAAGACTCGCAAGCCAAGAGACAGAAGCAGCTCCCCACTGAATGAAAGCATTTCGGTATCTTTATGTTCATATTTTGTCCTCGCCACGCATCCATCTTCATTTGTATCTATAGTGCACTTCTTAGTATCTCCGTTCAATCGCATGTTCAGAGCCGTCCAATGACCTTCCGGGTGGAACGAATGCGGGACACATGTTAACCTCTGCTCACTCTGCTTCCAGCTTGGAAATCTCCACTTGGTCCTCCGACTCACAGGTGATTGTCTTCGAAGGAAGTAAATCATCGACATCCGTCAGTGTCGAATCGAGTTCTGATGAGACTTCCTGCTCATCGTCATCAAGATTATAAATCTCGTTTCTAAGCGCCGCTGAGTCAAAGACGTCTACAAGCTCCTGGTGGAACAAGTCCACCACAGCCTTGAAAGAAAAAGTAAGCAGGCAAATCGACAACATAATCCGATGACTCACCATTAGAAGGTAACGAGCTTTTGGCGTGATGATATCTTCCTCCAGCACTCTCTCGATGCTACCTGATGCACCCAATTGCTCTAGAATGTGCATTCCTTCTTGCTCTCGAGCAACTCTGCGGCAGAGTCTGCTCAGCGCGATGGCACTACCTTCCTGGCCTTGTTCTGCCAGGCTAAAGAGCTGTTGCACCAGGTCTTGAACGTCGGTGACGGGCAAAACACCATCCAACAATAAATCCCCTATGAATTCGATCAAGGGGAACAGATGTGCTGCCTGCTCATCGAGGGCTTGCGTGAATCTGCTTTCACAAGCCTCGATAAGAATACTGGCGAATGATGGGTGTGATGATTGCCGTGTGCCATCGTTGAGCCATGTCCACCGCCTGTCTTCCATCTCAAGCTCTCTGTCAACTCTTTTGCAAAGATAGGCGTAGAGCGAGGAGCGTTGGGTATCCTCAACTGCACGTAGTGCAATCGAGACAGCAAAGGCTTCGATGATCTCTGCGCAACCGCGCCGTCCACAATCCGTAAGACGCTCGATTAACTTAGTAGAAACGGAGTCGAAGTTTGTCACGTTCAGTTTGTTGAGCAGGCCGCAAATTTTCCTTTGTTCAAGCCTGGAATCGTGCTGGGAGCTCCAAGAATTCCACATGTAGTTGTAGCTGTTAGGTCAAGAGTAAAGTGGATTGTCGCCGGTACGGAAGGAGTATCAAAATCGGGCAGCATATATGCTCTCGGCGTGTATGGGGGTGGGGACGAGGTAAGGCAAAGCTTAATATCAAAGTGGGAGATGAAAAGAAACCAACTTCGGAGGAATGGGAGCTCAAATCGCTGAACTCAGCGCTTATAGTTTGTTGATACCCAGTCAGTCGCCATGAAACGGATATGAAGGCTTCTAGATATCCATCGTGATTGATCGAGCATGGAAGCTGCGAATGCCTTGAATTGACATCGAGGATCTGGCTTCTGAAATTATCTAATCCAAGATCCGGCAGTTATCCACAGGATGATAAACTTCTCAGCGACAAGCGCTACCAAGGGGTGTCCGTTTACCACGACTCTTGTTGGAACAAAGTTTGAGGGTCTGATCGCAGTTGTATGTTTCCTCTAGTCGTGCAGATGAATGATGCCGTAACTGATGTTCATATGAAGCTTGCTGCATGGTGAATGGCGCCGTATCTACGCCACACACGTGCAGAGTTAACACAGGAAAGGTACAGCACAGTTTTGAGGGCGCACCCTGATTGTCGTCACGGGAAACTGCGACGGAAATACTCGTGGGCTGACACATGATGCATGCGACGATAGGCCGCGGTTAGAACTGGTTCGAAAAACAAAGGAAGCAGAGAATAATATACACAAGGCGAGCCAACATGGGATTACAAAAATAAAAATGACAATGTAATGAGTGAGGTGGTCACCGTGTACTCTTTTTCTTCTTTGTTTTCGGTTCGACACTCTCGTCTGCGTTCTCATCCATATCGCTTGTTTGGGGTCTCTTTCCTGATTTCCCCTTCGCTTGCACCTTTTGTTTCCGTTCCGCTTCTTGAGCATCAGCCTCGTCCTCAGATGCAAAAGGATCATCCTCTTGGATTTTCTTCTTGGGAACAGGCTTTTTCTTTGTAGTGGTGGAAGGCTGGTCTTTCTTTTCGTCAGGTTTTGCTATAGAGGTCGAAGCAACATTCAGCTCTGAGAAATAGATATCTTTGAGGTCCTGCATAGGAGTATGAGTGACATTTGTTTGTCCCCATCGTAGCTATGCACTTGCCTTTATCTCAGAATCTGCGAGCAGAGTGGTGTTTTTCCACACCTGATAACATTCTCAAAAGTGCATCACCTTTAAGCTGCATAAGACTTACAGTTGATGGAATTCCGCTTGAGTGTTTGCTATCGAGTCCTGGATACGGACACCGAAATCATCATCATGTAGTGTCAATAATTCAGTTTGATACTCACCTGCTCCTGTGTATAAATCCGATTTTACGCCACTGAGATTGACACCGTGGTTTCTCAACAGTACTTTCATGACCTGCTCAGAGAATCAACGCTCGAAATTTGAGAAAATGAGAGCGATACCAACATCTGTGACAGCTTCTTTGTCGTAGACATCTGGGATATAGAGACAGATGACGTGTTGATGATGTGGAGTCTCATTTGCCGGTGATGTTGCCACTTTCGTCAGAAATGCACAAGTTGAAGCAAGGGCTCCAGACACAAGCGATGCTTGGAGGATTCAGTGAGAGGTGCACTGATAATGATAGAAGTCTAGCTTACTAGCGATCTTGGACCATATTAAGTCTACTTTATCTGCGGGTGCGAATATTAACCTGTTCAAAAATCATTCCCGGTTTCTGATAGTATTAATCGGAAATATTATTAACCATTTTCCACAAACGTAGTTGTGCTTAATAGATATATCTTTCAGTTTCTCGGTAGCGTCTGCTTGTACCTATTGAACTTTTGAGCACACACAAGTTTCGAGGGTGAAAATGAATCACCTTCTCACGGACTTCCTTTTTGCTCTTTGCTCCTGTCTTTTTGTTAGAGCGCATGGGGATAGAATCATCATTCTGCTATACGATTAGGGAAAGAACATCGAATAATACTGAATACCTGCCTTGATCTCTTCCACTCTCTGTGACACCTCCTTCACTAAGGTAGATTGTCAGTGAGCCAGAGTACATTAACGATATGACATACGCAATGCTGCAGCTTCACTGATAGCAGCAGCTGCATTAGATTCAGATGTATTTGGGTTTCGTTTGGTTCCTTCGACCCATATCCACTTCATGGATGCCGGGTTATATATTCAGCCAGTACGGAATTACAGTAATCAGACTCACTGGCTTGGTGCCGTCGTTCTGGACCATGGACGGTTTATACTGATATAACGCGTGGATGCGTTAGAAGAGGATAAGAGTCTGATAATTGATGTGATCCAATACCTTCGTTAGAAAGTCTGGTAACGCTATGCTTGACCCCTTGGACCAGAAATATGGGTATTCTTGAGGGACTGCATCGTCCGATTCTTTCCCCATATTGGAACCGATAAATGCAAGCTCGAAGGATCAACGCAACAACGATTTAGGTTGAACCTATAGAAAAAAGTCAGGGACTCGAAACTTAGAATAGACGGTAGTATTTAAGGAGAGCGTGTCACAACACGGTCACGTGCCATGAGAGGTTTCAGACTCCGAGTTAGCAGATGGCCCCTATCATTAGTTTACCTCTCACATGGATTGGAGAAGTTTTTCTGTTTGCTCACACTAACTGACGATCACCAGTGTCCTGGACGGACCTCGTCAGCCTCATTGTCAAATATTCGCCCGCTCCTTTATCTGCTACAGGCTACGTTCACCATGCGCATGCTTCCATCAGGAAAATGCCACCTGACTACATAATACTATGTAGTCAGAGTAGCCCGTGTCAACACCAACAAGTAATTTGTCCATAAGGTGCAGATGTAACAAGACACAAGAAACAAATATTTATATCTACAGTTTAACCGCGAGTTCTAGTAGGTCTGATTGAGTCAGGTCCATAGTTTTTATCAAAGTAATCGCTCAATCGCTGCACAGGTGGTCGTTCACTCGGGTTCATTTCCCAACATTTTAAAAACGCAGACCATGCACCGGAGGGAACGGGAGGGTAGTATTGTGCCTTGTTGGGTAATTTATTGTCCGCAATAGTCATGGGTATTTGTTTGTCCCCGATTTCCACATACGGGATCTTGCCAGAGAGAATCTAACCATCAAAATCAAAATCCAGCGCCAGGGACACAATGATCTGCAAGCGCACCTCTAGGCCCGTCATCCCTGCTGCCCATACATCTGATGCTTTTGTTGGCGTTGGCGTTATCTCGTCATTCTCAGGTACCATCAACTCCGGCGCCATATAGCGGGACGTGCCAGCTACGGTGCTTCTGTTTGTCGTGAACCCAGAAATCCCAAGGATTCGAGAATGTCCAAAGTCTGCTAACACCGCATTGCCTGCATCGTCGATGAGAATATTTGTCTGCGAAGATAATCACATCAGCTTCGGTTCCGCAAGATGAAGAGAATGGGTGCCAGACAGGTTTGAGGTCCCCGTGAACAATAGCCTCATCACGATCATGTAGATAAGCCAATGCAGATAAAATTTGGCGAAACTGTCTTGTCATTCGTAAACGCGATAAAAATCAGCAAATCGAAAAGTGTACCAAGTTCATCGGCACAGCATCTGAATTGTGTCTTAGGTACTGCTTGATGGTTCCGTTCTCGTAGAACGGAGATATCAAACAGGGGACTCGATATTCTCGGATAGTCTCGTAACATATGCCAATAAACAAGGCCAAGTGAGGATGAACACATGTACTCCATACTTTCACTTCTCGCAAGAGCCTCTGTAAACATCTGGCTGAATAACAGATTTTCACTTGTAAGATAGGAGATTTTACCCGCATTGTTTTTTCTGCATCTACACTGTCGCCAAATAACGTCGATCTCATGGCCTTCATGGCTACCTGCAGCGAGTACGTGTAAGATATATCATGAATTGAAAACCATCACCCAATCGTACAATTTCTTGTTGACCTCCTACTGTGTAGGTGCCCTTCCATACCTCTCCGGTTTGTCCATTGGCGATTTGCACCGTCTTGGAAATCCTTCCTGTAAGGTCATTGACAGTGATGTTTTCGAAATTAGAGGACATTTTGGGAGTACAGTGGAGGGGAAATGATAAGATGGACTGCAGCAACCCGCACGGCGTTTATATAGGCTTCCTTATGTACTTTTTGTTGTACTTAGTGGGCACAGCCGCCAGAGCGAGAACAACGCATACCAAGTCAAATCTGGAAGCGTAAACATTGGAGATAGGCACTGGCACTGATACGATGCTACCTTGTATCGAATAGACCAATTATGTCCGACACGATGAATACAACCAGCTGTTTGAAACGGTTATGCCAAAAAGAAAAATAACACCATGAAGACACAAATGCGAGATAGTTAAACTTTGAATGATCCTTTGTATCCTATGTTGCAAGTTGTCACAGGCTGTCTATGACAGATGTGCGCTTTGTATATGACTATCAATGATTGCCATTGTCCTTGGTCGACATTATTAGCAATAGTCGACACTAAGGCTCAAGGGAAAATTTTGACCTTTCACATACAAAGGTTTCCGAGAGTTCGGGCGACGATAGCCATCGATAATCGATGATGGACCCACAGGAGCAAACTTTGAGTTAACATATCATGAACAATGGATATGAGCAAAAGGAGTCTCGAACCTTTTTGGGTAGGACTTGTTCGTGATTTTTACTCACAGGCTGTTGTATGCTTCGACAAACAGCACTAACGCATCGATTATCTCTACTTCGGCGGCTCTGTCTCTCACAAAGTTCTTTTCAAAACCTCCAATTCCGCTCGCTTAAAATGTCACCCCAAACGCCACTTGATTTCAGCTCAGGTCCCATGGTTTGGATTGACTGCGAAATGACCGGACTCGATCCTAGAAAGGGTAAGATCTTGGAAATTGCAGTGAGTGCTTTAAACCGGTGAATTAGCAGTGATCGAAATTTACCTTACGTCCAGGTACTGATCACGAATGGTAACCTGGAGCTTGTCGATGAACGAGGCATCCAGTTCGTTATCAGGACTGACGAGGCACTTTTGAATTCGTGAGCAATCCATAGTGACACAACAAACCTCGAATACTGAGAACGGTCAGTATGGACGAGTGGTGCAGAGTTCAACATGGAAAGGCTCGTCCTCAATGCATTACTAAGTACTTACTTGACAGTTAGCGAAATGATCATTCAGTCTGGTCTAACGCAAGCCTGCATGACATCGCCTCACACAAGAGAACATGTTTCAAAAGCTGTTTTGGAGTACATCAAGAAATGGGTGCCGCAAAGACGGACTGCAGTTTTAGCTGGAAACTCGGTCCATGCAGACCGGTCATTCTTGGTGGAGGAAATGCCTGAAGTTATCGACTGGCTTCATTACCGGTAAGCAGTCTATCCTCCTCACGCATGCAAAACTTCATTCGACATCGTACTAGGATTGTTGGTGAGTCAATTGTCTGTGATCATGAAGACAGCGGCCAATGCATGTTTCCGAAGATGTGTCATCAATAAAAGTGAAATCTAACACAAAAAACGGCAAATGTCAACTTATTTATGTCCTGCAGGAATTATGTCGTAGATGGTACCCGGACAATCAAGTTCCGAAGGACCCATTAGCCGGAAAACATAGGCAAGTGCTGGAGATTTGGCATTGCCGATTGTGAAGCAGCAGCTGAACAATGTACAAGAGCTTCTGATGACATCATGGATTCGATTCAAGGTCCGTGGTGACAATTATCGATGAGCTTGGGTAATCTCATTATCGTAGAATTATCATGGTACCGCCAAAATATCTTCGTTCACACCGTGTCTAGGAAGACACGTTGACGAGTAATGTGCGTACACGTTATCGAGTCAAAGAGAATCTTGTTTGTGACACTCACATCCCTTGGCAAAGGTAGATCTTTCATAATGCAAAACTCTATAATCCCTGCACCGTATTAGTGTTAGGCTAGTCTAATCATGCGACCACGAATGGGGTGCATGCATGCAGGGCGCATAAATTGGGCGGGGTCCCATAACTGTGGAAAAAGAAAAAGAAATTCAGCATCTTTACCCATGTTGCTTTCTGCGCAAGTTTAAGGCACGAGAATCGATATAGACATGTTACTGCATTTAACTGGATAATTTACGAAGTTAACATCGGTTGTACGAATCAGGTTTAATAGGTTCTAGGTTTCTAACCAAGGCAGCACGCCCGGTATGAACAACGTCCGCACTACTTCGATACCACGTGGTTCCAGTCGCTTTTGACAGCTCCCATCTGGATACCCACCAGCTCTGTCCAAAGCGGCCTCGAGACAGGACCCATACCGTCTTCACCCGTTGGTATCATGATATCACCTCCGTTGTATCCAATTCTCTCGACAGGTGTGATAATAGCCGCCGTGCCGGTACCAAATAACTCAACTAGTCGACCCTCTTTCGAGGATTGGATAATCTCGCCCATGTTGATGGGACGCTCCGAGACTTTGACGGTATCAGGAAGACCTCGGAGGCGCTTAACACCAGAAACGTGGTTACGCGCAAGCGCTAACACAGAATCGCGAGTGACACCCGGGAGAATCATTCCGTCGAGAGGAGGCGTGATAAGCTCGGTCACTGCGAGGGTGATGGATTCAATATGATGGAAACACCGCCAAGGTAAATGCTTACCACCACCGCTGTCCTTGATAACAACAAACAAGTTCATCATGCCCGCTTCCGTGAGCCAGTGCTCGGGACCATGTAACCACAAGTTCTGTGTGTAGCCCCAATTCGCTGCACATTTTTGTGCGATGATACAGGGGCCGTAGTTCGCGGAAAGCTTATATGCACCGATGCCTGTAGGCAAATGACATTATTGAGCGGTGGAGCGATTAGTGATGCAAACCTTCGGGCGCTGCGCGAGTATACTCCGTAGTGCCATATAATGGCACAGGCTTGAACCCTTGAGGGTAATATGGTCCTACAGGGCAGGTGATCACAAACAGTAGTGCCTCTTTTGGGGGAGCAATAGCTAACGTGCTATTCGTGGCAACTGTACCGCCATTGTCCTCAGTATTTGTGTCCTCAAGAAGGATTATGATACTCACTCAACGTGGGTCTGATGTAAAGACTGTGCCCGGGCTCCTTAGGTATCCATCTACGGTCAACGGCGACCAATGCCTTGATACATTCAATAAGCGCATCGCCTCTGAATGTCTATTGCGAGAAGTGAATTATGCTCTTTTTAGAAGGGACACAATAAGGCGTACGGGAAGCAATAGCCGCTGTGCGCTGGTGTTCATGCGTTTCATGTTCATTTCAGGCCGGAATAAGGTCACGGCATCATCTGCGTGCCTGTAGGCTTTCATGCCCTCAAATAAAGATTGGGCATAATGAAGCATAGTAGTGCCAGGGGACAGATTGATAGTGCTGACTAGGATACACAAAAGATCATATTAGTAAAAAATATTGAGAAAGCCAAGGATCTTACAAGGTACAATGCTGGGTGCCCCCCAGCCAGTAGCGTCAGTCCAGGGGATTCTCAGCATATGATCTGACTAGGATCACGATGAAATACAACACACAAACAACACGACAAGATGACTCACGAATGTCTCTCCGAAGATAAGGCTCTTAGAGGGAGGCAGCTCCTTCGGGCTCATTGTTTTCGTGACAGTGAGTCGGGAGGGCTTCGTGAACAGTTGTAAATCAAAATCAGAATCAAAATCACTGTTCATACCTCAATATCAACAGATTTCCCCCTCATGGAGTCCCGGGTGATACCCTGGGACATGTGCCGGTTCCCAATGACACCAGCATGAAATGAGGAGCAAGTCACAGTCCGAGTCTGCGTAAGCCTAACAAAATGGAGTAGCGTCGAACGTGGTCTCAGAGGAGAAAATGACATGTCTAAGCCCGAGAGTTATGTATCATGAGTAGAAAGATATGCTAAGAATGAGAGCACTTTTATACGGACCATAGGAAAGTCAGATCTAAGTAGTTCTCAACCCAATCACGAGGTGTCACGAGTTTGGGGAAAACCTGAACGATTGCAGTACTATCATGCTTGGAGAAACACGTGAAAGCATGACAAACTGCGCACAGCATGACGGGGAAGTCTGAAACGTTTACCATAATAAAGAGAGCATAATGGGGTAATTCCACCCCCTACAACTTAGTGACTAGTAGGGATCGATCTATAATGGCCCTCACAATTTGGATATAATCATTTGTCCCAAATAATAACGGAAGCGTGAAACCAATGAGGTCCATCACGAATAGGCCGTAGATAGTATTGAACCTTCCGTAATGTAGGTTGTTAATAACCAGATAAACCCGCAAGCTCACCGCATAATGTGCCATGTTCTCGCTTTGATGACGGGATGATGTTTCGTATGACGTGGAAGTAGTAGGAATGATACTGGCGGTACAGCTTCTGAGGGAAGAGGGAGCAGGCAGGAGAAGAACCATGGCACTGGATGTTGACAACCAAGCTGCAATTCACGCAACGGCAGCCTTTCACTCGCAGCCGCGTCATTATCCGATAGATCATTTCCACAGGGACCTCGGAAGACTGCTCCTAGACCGAGCCGATAGGAAACACAGAATCAGATGGACTCCGGGGTATGAGGGCATACCAGGAAACGAAGTAGCGGATGTGGAGGCGAAGAAAGCAGCGGCAGAAAGGGAGTCGTCAAGCAGGCGAGCCCTAACTGCATCATTCCTAACGAGCGAAAGAGGTATCAGAGCCTACCACAAAGCAAAACGGCACTGAGGTAGCGTCACTAACGATTCAAGCTTCAACGTTCAACGTTCAACGTTGGAAATTTCAACATTGATGCTTTGAAGCCTGTAACATCATGCGCAAGGCCCTGTGCTATACGATGGTTCACTCCATCGATCAATCAGCTTCGCCCAAGACTCCGAAGTTTGCGAACAAAACCAAAACACGGCTCACTCATATTCCAACTTCGCACAGGACACGTCTCAACAAATATCTCCATCCGAGTCCATCGCCGCATCTTGAAAGAGCCGTCAGCCAGATGTCAACGATGCAACGCGCACGGTGCACCATTTCCAATTAGTACTGTAATTACCTCGCATTCACACGCCAACGAGACGAAACTTTCGAGATCGGACCGCGCCATTGAATGCAATTATATCAAGTACCTGCTGAACGAAAGAATGAGAACAATGCTCAAGATCGCCTGTACGAAAAGACTAGAACGAACGTTTTAAGATGCGACACCCCAAAGGAGACTGAAGAGGATAGGATGCGTCGTTTGGCATATTTTCAATGTCCGACGTGCCGTCTGATAGCTACCAGCTTTGCCGTTGCTCTCCGCCGGACTTTTCCACGTCGGAGGCAGATTTGGACCATTGTACTATACATAGATTACGTAAACAAATATGATACAAGTACGATACGGCATCATAGGGCTAGGCCCCAACAGACAGGATGTAAAAAAAAACGTTTCTCCGCTGGCCCAGGCCATGATCATGAGGGGCTTTTTCTTATTATTGGGTTCTTCACCGCCGCTTCTTATTCGTTCTTCAATACAAATCAAAGCTGCACGAGACAGCGCCGAAACTTTAACTAAACTGCCACTTCACCTACAAAGATCATTTCGATCTTAAGTGGCGCTCAGCACTCACACGATACCAATAATGCAGGCTCTTAAAACATGCGCTTGTGTCGAGTTTCGCAATACAGTCGGAACAGTGCGCGAAAATGATGAAGCAAGATTACTTAACTTGTGAAAGTCCCACATCATGAAACGGTTACGAGGTTGTTCTTGGCGTGGAGTGCTGTTGTGCGAGGCTCGAGGTGGTCTTCCAAAATGCTGACTTGCCTGAACTTTGCCTGAACTTCGAAGACAACGAGTGGATGTCACAATCCATAGCACGTTGGACTCTATACGCCTGAGCACAAGAGGATGGACAGGTACATGGCTATATGCTCAAGCTTAGAGCGCCTAAACTTGAGCTCCTCGGCGCGATCCTGAGTGCCTCTAGCTTGCCCGAACGCCAGCATTGCCGACTCGGACGTTGTTGGGCTGCCTGAACAAATCTGTCAAGAAACTGATATATCGCGCACGTGTGGTCTGGAGCAATTCAGCATTTCTCGTATCCTTGAAAAAAAATTCATGAATTTGACGACGCCGTTATTGGAATTGTCAACACACCGATCTAATCGAGCTCCTCGAGACGAACGACAGAAGCCAAAATTGACGTGTCATGTAAAATAACGAGGGTAAGAATCTTCTGATTTGTGTTTCAAGTTAGCATTCGCGGCGGAGATGGTCGAGTTCTTTCGAATGCCGTCCATTGACTGTGTCGCTATGTGTATTTCAGTCGTTTCAACAATGGAGTCATCAGACTCGACAATGCACCGTGACATCATAACCTTGAACCTTGCATGGCTCCGGTGAAATCGCCGGTGCTCATCACACTGCGGCCTTAATTGCAGAATTGTTGCTTGTTTTATGCTCTATGACTGCTTCAATTCGATTGGGCGGCTACATCCAAGTGAGCACCTGCAGTAAGCCATAGTCCCTGCGACAGTCGATGAGACCCAGCCGGCATGCAAGATATATTGGAGTGCCTGTTGTAAATCCTTCTTCTCAGGCGACTTGGGGAACTAACAAACTCAGTAGGCTGCTGTTTCGGTCTTGGATAGAAGTGAGTACCCTTTGGGAACATACCCCGAGGCCACGGCTTCAAGAAAGAGCTGTTATAGTAGATGACTGACTCGGAAAGAGGCGGTCCAAGATTAGTCGGTAGGGCATCGGAAGCCATCGATGCTGAACGCGGTCACCCATCGCCGCATCCTTCTTCTGCTGAGCTACAGAGAGACAATGCATGAGTCTGTAGAATAACTGGAGATCCGAGGACACAAACCATGGCCCATAAGGTGGCCTGCCAAGCGCCTTCGCAGCCATCCTCAAATTGAGTGCTGCAGCTGGATCAATCACGTCAGTATACGTCATCTCGAACAAACACGGACTAGTGCAGCAACAAACGTTCGACCTGACACCAGTTTGGATGACGATTTGAATTCATCACTAAATACGGTTGAGGAGAAAAAAAAAACATCAAGGAATAATATCTGGGTAGCAGCAGATGACCTGATACGAGACAATAT